TATTAATAAAATCCCTATCTAATACATGACGTCATCCGATAAATTAACTGAATCTAACAGATATTGTTTTACCATGTAAGTATACATAAGAAATATATTTATTCAGTCAAAAGTAAAAAAAAAAACGGCATTATAAAATCAATCGATAATAGTAAACAGGATCTTGATGAATGAAACGATAAATGTTTTAAACTTGTTAAGACTGAAAACTATCTAAATTAAGTCATAAAATGTCTCACAGGATGTGATGTGAACAAATTCAACAGATAAAATTTACTAACTGTCGACATTTTAATGAAGGAGGATCATGTAAACACAAGCCAGACTACCTCATTTGTTTAATCATTATGAATACGATTGTACAAATTAAGTAAATTACATTATTGCATTGTATTTGATAAATGATAAAGTTGTGAAACATGTTCCGTTAAATGAGTGTGACTATTATCTTTGATAAATCGGTAGTTCATACTAATAAGAACTAAAAATAACGCATTATCTTCCTGCTATTAAAAACACAAAATGAAACTGTGAAAAAATGTTTAGGTTTGAGAGGAAATCTCCAGAGTTCAAATGAGAAACAGTGACCAGTGGAGTACAATCTGTGTCGAGTGTGAGACAGTTACTTAACGAAGACGATGGAAGATGATTACACAATGTTGTGGAATGAGTGATTGTAGACATTAACACCACTGAGTTCCGACTCAGTAATCTAGGGGTTAAGAGATCAAATACAAGATCAAACTCGTTTTGTTTGATTTCCGGTTGCGTGACTGTGAATGTGAACGTATAAAAAGTCCCCTACTAGAACGAAACGACCGTGTATTGCTTCCAGATTTTCAATAGTTCTCCCACTTAGATCGGTTCATAATTTAAATAAAATTCAGCAACCCCACAACCACATTCCAAAAGATTGATTATTACGGATTTGTAATAACTTACTTTCCTTTGTTTAAAATTTATAAAGTGATAATTTATTCTAACGTATAGAAATTGCATGAGAATGCAGTTATATCATTACATTTAGCAAAGTCATTTCCTTCTATTGACCTCACTAGGTGATTATTGCGGAATTAGCATCAGTAAACGAAACAATATGAAATCTTTTAAAGAGAGCAAGAACAAAGGTTGGTGCAGAATAATATGAATTCATTTTATTTCTTTAGGTTCTCATCAGCTGCTTACAACCTAAAATATTTGAAATTCAACGTTATTACAGATATTGACATACATCAGAGGGTGATGAAGGATGAATATAAGTAACATGATGTAGCAAGGATGCCGTTAGAGTTAATGAGGTAATAAAATTTTCTGTTTCGAATATATAGAGTTTGAGAGGGAAGGTTGCATAACATAGAAATACTGATTAAAACTCATGAAATTAAAATACATTAGATAATTACGTAATGAAGTAACTAAAAGATAGATTAATGGTAATAAAGAGAGATATTATTTGAAATTGGTCAATTATGAGTGATGTAATTATAATGTTCAGAAAGAGTTGGAATGACGTAATAAATAAAAGGGGGGGTAGTGTTACCAGGGCAAAGAAAAATTTATTACTGTTTCTTTTTGTATACAAAGATCTGGTTTTAAACGTTTGATTGCTATGGCTTCGGCAAATTTCAAAAGGTTGGAATTTGATTGTTTGTTGGTCACCTTGAAGGACTTCAGTATATCGACTTCGTGTCCTGTGTCAAGATGTCTTGCGATAGCGCAAACCCTTCAGAATATGTTCTTTGAGTCGGACCTAGGGAACTATGTGTATGAAATATGAAATCTGTCTGATAAACAACACAGTAATCTATTAACAAGAATTTGTGATTTTCTCTTGGACTTTTATTAGCTTTTCTGACATAAAAAGTATCTGAATAATGAAGATAAACAAAAGGTTGCGAAACTACATGAATACTACCGAAATAGTCAATTGCTGGAATAAATAGTAAGTTTCACTTTACAAAATGATCGAATCATCAGCACTTTTTTTAATAAATCATTGAAGTGCTAAACTAATAAACAAAATTCAAGTATAATCTTACATATCAGACAGGAAAATTCAAGTCGTTAAATAATTCAACTGACAACAGACGATCAACTCTTAACATGAATTTTAAAAAGATCACCTCCTGGATAGTATTCGGTAATATGTTGGTGACTGCAAGTAACAAGTACATAAGATAACTTGTGGTCTCAATATCATAGCATCATACTCATCGAAATCACTGAGTTTACCATATACATTACTATGTTGTGAAGCCTTTGTTAAAATACATTACCTACTTATAAGTAGTAAAACATAATTCCTAAAATAATACAACCTTTAGGCTTTGAATTCGCTTTAATATGTCATAGATGTTTACTACCGAGTAACGGCATACTTAGAATGAAGCAGACGTCCAGTGCGTCATCGTAATTAATGGTCATGTAACCAAGGCCATTTCTAAAAAGAGTGCATTAATTACACTATTTTGCTTCAATGTACGCTACTGTAATATAGTTTAGTCACCTAATTACAATGGAATTATAAGATCATTAAGTGAAGTAATCCATGTCTATTGCAATCTTAAAATAAAATGAAAGTCTACTAAGTCTTATTGTTAGTATTTTTCCAAATAATATTTAATTTTATAGTTCTTTAAATGTTTTCACTTAAACTGATAACGTGCATTAGGGTCTAACAGCCTTACTTCTAGTATGATTGACTTGATAATTCTATCGGTTTAATATCGAGAACTGTATTTAGACAACATGCCTCTATCAACAAATAGACTAAAATTCACTGTACCAAAAAACTACTGACCATTCAAATAGAAGATATGAAGAATTGACTTAAATTTCACTGATATGAATATAAAAGTTAGTCACTTATGTATTCGATCACCTTAAAAATCTTATTTAGATAAATGTTGATGAGGCAAATTTATTTTTGTATTTTCAATATTAATTAATTTGATAAGGAAATTTCTTTCAATTATTTCTTTATTAAAAAAGAATGAAAACGTTTCAGTGAAACAAACCTGTTTTATTAAAAAACTTTGATTTCGTTAAAATAACACACTTCCATTTATAAATTATTATTTGCAATGCCTGAAATATTTGATAATCTTGACTAGATTATGCAACATCACTACATCTAATTGATTAATCTAGTGCATGATCTCATTCATTCATGATCATACAATGGTAGAAATTAATGTACATTTTACTAGGCTGTGATTACAATTCAGTCTATTATGAATATCAATCGATTAGTGATTAATGTTCAATTATGCAAATATAGGGATATGCAACCAAGATGTAAAGTAAATAATAATGAGTTATGTTTGAGAATCTTGTAAATTTTTATGTTCATTTGAACTGCCCAATGTTTTTTCAAAGTGTTATAATTACTTATTGGATAGGAATTGTTGTTGTAACTTGATCATGCAACCATTTATCTGAATATTGATCAGTCAACAATCTACAGTGAGGTTTAATGAAATATCATCTCATCGATCATAAATAAACTTGCTTGATTCGAATATTAATTTCTAACTTGTTTTGTAAATAACTAAACAGAGAGATTACTAATTTTCGCGCAGGTAGATTAACGATGTGACAGGTAAAGATATTAAAAGCTTTAACATAGTCAATTACTAATCTAGGCGATAGTAATATTCCTTTTTTATTTAAAGTGTTGTAAACTGATTTCTATAAAGAAAGGAAAATAACAAAAGTCGTTGCCTTTAAAGCTGTTTAAATTGTCTACAAAGTATTTATCTTAATCATGAGGGTTAGATTTAGATTTACCTGATTATCTACTCATTGAGATATAACAGAACATATATTTACTATTAACTTCCTACTCAATGCTCATTTAATTTGAAACTATCAAATCCAAACTTAACATTGATACCTAGAAACTAATCAATATGTTCTAAGAATACTTATATATCTGTCAAGACCTTTATCTTGCATCAAACGACATGTTAGATAAAACAGTAAAATATCACCATATTATCACTTATAGTACTTACCAAGTTTAATGTGCTCGACTAAGTATGTACAATAGAAAAATAGCAACATAGGTACACACAATCTGTTGAAAAGAAATCCAGAGTTTATGGTTCAAATGTTCTAAACGGGGAAATTATGTAACATCTAATTATTTGTAATCATATTTCTGACATTTGAAATAAATATTCAGTTACTTAATGAATCAATTAATTAATTCACCAACTAAGTACTGTAGTCCCTACATCCTTAGAATCAAAGTTGATGTTAAGCTAAACTGGTGGATTTAGTATACCAGTTTCATTCTCCTGGAACAAGTTGAAAAGTATACTAACTTCTCAGCACTTCAAGTCGTTAAAAGAATCGTGAAATAATGCTGACATTATTATGGTTAGAACTGATAAATAATCAGGTGTCATTGTCATAAATATATCCGAATACAAAAAAATAGAATCCATTTTTAGTTGTGAAAACAAATTTATGACTGACGTTGACTCTGATGGATTACGTAAAGTAGAATGTAAATTCGAATCTAATGAAATTGTGTAATCTGTCTGGCCATTTCTCAGGTTACATATAACTGGACATAGTTTTTTCTGTTTTTGAGAACAATTATTAATGATATTGCAGGGCAACATCTTCGGTGTTAACATTTGTCATTTCAGGTATACACAATCATTAACATTATGCCATCTGATCACCGAATATTAACTAATTAGTAAATATCTCAATTCAAAGTAAGGTCAGTTAAAATTTTAACAACTTAGTAGTATTTTTATTAATTAACAGAGGATGACGCGGATTCCAACGTCACAGAACGATTGTCACCTATTAATAAATTTAGGATTACAGCTTAGGAACGATCTTTTTCAACCAACTGTGTAATAATACGTGGTATTTTTCTGATTCAATAGAACGTTGTAAGCAAATAATGACAATTTTCAAAGTATAACAATTGATGTTTCCTTGCTTTACTCAAATCGCAAAAAAACAATGATTACAAGCGTTTCGCTTTATTCTACATAATTAACATTTTTCGGAAAAAAAGAACAAAGTGATAAAAAGTGAACAAGAAATCAACATAATTATTGACAAATCGGAAACATGACTAAAATAAGAATTGAAATATTTCAGTTAGCACTACATTTTTTGTTGTATAAAATAAAAAAGGTGTAAGATAAGTCAAGGGAACAAAAATTATATTTCATCAAGATACAGCTGGAACAATCTCTGACAGTTTACAAATCAAAGCTTTTGTTTAAAATACATCTGTAATACCGGATACAAAAAAGATAGATTTGTGAAAAAAATAGAGTATAAAAAAACTAGACAGAAGTATACAGCATAAATGAATGATTATTCTCTGTGGGAATACGAATAAAAATAATATTTGGAGTAAGCAGTGGTTTTATTTAAGATTATATGTAAATAACAAATAAAATAAAATAAAATCTGAATTCGCGGTTACAACAGTTTGATATTTTAAATAATGCTCATGAGGATTTGAAATTGTTGTTCATTTATAGTTTACGTAGAAGCATATATTTAATCCAAGTTATTTTGAATTGGTTTTATTCGTGTCTAATAACTAGTTTAAGCTGATAAAAAGTATCCGAAAAAAAAGAGAATATAAATCAATTTAACGATTTCATCACTTCTAACTCTTTTTTAAGAAAATGATATTCATTTTGCTTTATCAAAAGTAATTTTATATTCACAATTTAAAGAAGGGCACTACTTACTAATCTATAAATCATAACTCTTGTCAATAAAATCAGTTTGATGACTATCCATGATGTAATGGCTTAACTTCGAGGTAATTCTTTTAGCTTCGTTTATCACTCACCCTGATAACCGTTACTAAATTAATACCAACGAGGCATGGATTCAGAAGACGATTGCAGTTTATTATTGGATCAGATCAACTCCGTCATCTAATTGTTCTATCGAAGTTTATAAAAGGGACTAATTGCTTTAAATTATATTATTGCATAGCACAGACGACAATTACAAGCATATCGAGCAGCAGACAGGCTAATGTGTGTAATCAAGCAAACACAGAGACTGATTTATAGTCAAATCGAATTAAGGTGCGGCGAGACAAAATCAAAGGCTATTAATAGAATTCGAGAACATATTTATACGGGAAAGCTAATGATTCATCGAGCGATATTTAAGCGAACAACCTTTAAGGTAGAGACAGAGATATCTGGGTAGGCTGTCACATGTGATCAAACATACATGTTTGTACAGACATGATAGTGATAGTAATAATAATACAAAGAAGTAAACAGATTGTTACTGTTCGAATAACACTGTCTGTAAAATAATTAAAGGATTCGACGAAATTAAACGTAAACAAACTTAATTTTAGGGAGGGTTTCTGTAATAGTTCATTATTGCACGATTATGTGCATTTTGAATTTCCATGTTCTCGTTCTCAGTCATTTTTTGTTATCGTTTTTATTTTTCACCACGTTATAATTACATGGGATAATACAACATAAAATACAAATCAATATACAAGTCTTTGATTCATTCACTTATTATTATAATTTTCTTCTTACAACGTCGAAACATACAGATGTAATGTTGCGATTTTTTCACGTCTCACGTGTGGTAACTTTGCTTGGCGTAAAAATTATTTCATTAGAAGTTGGATTATTAAATGTTTAAAGCAGTAGTACTAGATAACATGAAAGCACTATCAGTGGGAAGAAACATTTAATAAGAAAGATTAGAAAGTTTTAAGTAAACAGAATCAGTTGATATAAATACATGAAAATTACCCTAACTGAATGAAATGTCTTACTGAATGAATAAAAGAGTTTGCATACGCTGCTGTTATTGATGATGTCTGACTGCATTATCAGAACAAACAACAATATAAAGTGAGTTATTAGGATTTCACGACAACTGACTAACAACGTGTTTTGTACAGGACTAAGTGGCCGGTCGTTCTGCCCAAGTATAAGTTAATACTAATTAGCTGTTAAATGCATCAACATAGCTTCGTCGATACCAGTGCATGTGAACAGTTATGACATCAGTTTGACTTGGGAAATGTAAAAATATTGGGCAGAAGACTCGATCCACCAATCAATAAGATGAAGGGAAAACAACTAAAACGTTATAGGTAGAAACAACTGAAATAAACATCTAAACAACAGCCACACAGTTATGAATAACAATAAACGGAATTCTAGGTTAACAGATACAGCTGCCAATCAATTGCGGAGAGGTTTTACTCAGTCACTTATAATTAAATTATGTACTGATGTTGTAAAGACAGTTTCAAGGTTAAACCATTTGGCGTAGAGAACACAGCTTCAAACAAATTGCTAAAGAATGTTGGAGTTAGGGCAGAACAGAAATCCTTGTAATTTATATCTTTTTCTATCTGATAGGTTGTTCAAAACTCAATGTTACAAAGCATATATTGATATCCGAATTTTATGCGTTAACAGTCATTTCATATATTATAAATATTCATATAAAGATGGTGATTGGAATTTAATCGAGTTAAAACGTCAACATGTGTACACTAAATAATAATTCAAGTATTTTGGAGGACTTAATTGATGTGTTGTTGCTTAAATTTTGTTTCACGTACAGTTTACTTAAAATAATCGTAATTCTGTGATGAATTAAAAGAAATAATTCTTTATAATAAATTTCAATAAAACTCCACACCAATAAATGATGAAATTAAAACATTTGAAAAAAAACTTTTAGTTTTCAAGGGAATAGTTCATTGACAAAAAGAAATGATAACAATTTACTTACAGCACAGATATCTGTTCGCAAGCATTTTACATGCACAAACATCCACTAAAAGTTTGGCTATATAAAGGAAATAATAATAACCACTATTAAAAAACAATATCAATCACAATTTATAATCTAAATAAATTAATCTGGTTTTTGGTGCATATAGTCGATACCAATCACCACATAAATAAAACTTCAGTGTTTCATATTGTTTATAAAATCCCGCCGAAATTACCTTATAGTTCTAGAATTCGACTTTTACGTATAACAGAAGCCATAAGAATACACAACCATTGAATCTACCCTGGTCTTCTACTTAAATACCATTGTATGTTTCAAAACCTTTCTTTCTATTCTCTTAAAATTTTTTAAACATCGATTTCGTTAACACTTAAACTCCTGGTTTTAATCTTATGTAGTCTGATGATTGATCATATTATTTAGTTTTCACTGCACCCGTCCAACTAATTGCTTATCATTAATTTCACAGATAACAAAATATTCATATTTGCATACAATTTTAATTATGTAACTCTTCGTGATAATTAATTGATCACTTTAGTCTTAATCTTAGTTTCGATTTTCCAAACGTTATGTAACTAAGTGATTACTATTTCTTTAAAATGACCACCATCTAATTGGTATCGTCTCTACTCAGTTATAAAACATATATGTAAGTGTGGAACCTTGATGAAGAACTAAATGAAGCGAGTTATTTCATCATTCAACTTGTCACTCTAACAACAAATAAGTTTGCAAAATAAAATGAATTCATTCTATTTCACGACGCCCTATCAGCTGCAAACAGACTAAAATTGCACATATTAATATGATTATAAACGTAATAACACGAGGAATAGTAAACAAAATGTACAAATATAAAATACTAGAATGGGTTTTGTGGAGAATTGGTAATTTCAATAGTTGAAATCATGAATCAATTGAAGCTAGACCACCATGGGAAACCTGGAAGCACTGGACGGCCGTTTCGTCCTAGTATGGGACTCCTCAGCAGTGCGCATCCACGATCCCGCAACCCGCGAGATTCGAACCCAGGACCTATCAGTCTCGCGCCAGGCGCTTAACCAACTAGACCACTGAGGAGTCCCATACTAGGACGAAACGGCCGTCCAGTGCTTCCAGGTTTCCCATGGTGGTCTAGCTTCAATTGATTCATGATTTCAACTATTGAAATATAAAATAGTTAAGACTCTTTGGTATTTATGTTGTTGTAAAGTAATAATGCAGAGTAGATGGCGTTTTAGCTACAGGTAACCATAATGAAGATAAGAGGGTTACGTAAGCATAACTAAATTATAAGACACGAAGTTCAGAGAAGGGATTTCTTTTCAACGAATTTATCATAGAGGTGTACAATCGCATATATATAAATGTCAATTAAATTAGTAAATGATTACATAATCATTCAATGTGATTATAAACTAGACCAAATAAATATGTGAACACTGACAAGATTATGTAAGACATAAAAATCCGATGAAAAGGGGATTGAAAATTTGACAAAGGTTATTTGGCTAACACACTATCGCTATCACGGAATGGCTTATCACAGTTTCCTTGTGTATGCATAGGTCAGGTCAGAAGTGCTTGATAGTTATTACCTCTACAAAATGGAGTAAAATTGTTCTTTGTCTTTTGATTATTTTTAATGTATTGGTCATATTCACTTCATGTTTACTATTCAAAGTGTGCTTGGCAATTGCAGTCGTGAAGACCTTACTCTCTTTTACGCGTAGGATCTTAGGAACACTTAGGGAATATATTAAGGACCTTTCTCTTTATCTTTCCTATATACTTGCCACCACAGGTACACGTAAGTTCTTAAAATTGTTTAGAGTTGAATTTTGATGCACCTGTGGTGGAAAAAAAAGCTAATTTTACTCCGTTTTGCAAAGACTATCAAACATTTCCAACCTGCTTATATCTCCTACTGTTGCTCTCAAATGAATCCAACTAAGATTAAAATATATTGTTAAAACTGTTCTTTATGTAGCAAGATAGTGAAAAATATAATGTATATTGTAAGTAAAAGATAGTAAAATAATCTTTTTATTAGCTAAAATCAGAATAAAATTAATTAATGTACGTTTAAATAAACTCCGTCTGGAGTCCCTTTCGGGGGGCTACTGCCGGTCCCAAGCCCGGGTAAAGGAGGAGGGTTGGGCATGGGGTTAGCGTCCCCATCCCGTAGAAAACTAGCTCGCTAAAAAAACGCTAACCAGAAAAAATAACTCAAACCATTTAAACTCTGCCCTGGCAGTTAGAGGTAATATGACGCTTCATGGTGAAAGCCGAGTTCCTTCGGAAGCCACGAGGCCGATGCCCCTTCTAACAACCACAGCAACAATTTTTATAGGTACATGGAACGTCCGGACAATGTGGGAGACCCGGAAGACCAGTCAAATAGCAACGGAAATGAGGAGATACAACTTGGCAGTGCTGGGAATCAGTGAAACCCATTGGACCCAAGCTGGACAACAAAGGCTAAATACGGGAGAGATGCTGCTATACTCCGGTCACGAGGAGGAAAATGCTCCACACACTCAGGGAGTTGCTCTAATGCTGTCCAAAGTAGTACAAAATGCATTTGTAGGATGGGAATCTCACGGATCCAGAATCATCAAAGCATCATTCAAAACAAAGAAGGAGGGGATCACAATGAACATTATCCAATGTTATGCACCCACAAATGATAGCAACGACGACATTAAAGATCAATTCTATGAGAGGCTGCAATCAATCATAGAGAAGTGCCCAAGAAAGGACCTCACCATTCTGATGGGAGATCTAAACGCCAAAGTCGGAATAGACAACACCGGATATGAAGACATCATGGGACTACATGGACTGGGAGAGAGAAACGAAAACGGGGAAAGATTTGCAAATCTGTGTGCATTCAATAAATTGGTCATAGGCGGTACAATATTTCCACACAAACGTATACACAAAGCTACATGGATCTCACCGGACCACACCACAGAGAACCAGATAGATCATATTTGCATCAATAAAAAGTTCCGAAGGACAATGGAAGATGTAAAAACCAGGAGAGGAGCGGACATAGCTTCAGATCACCACCTGGTTGTGGCCAAATTGAAACTGAAGCTAAAGAAGAACTGGACAACTGGACAAAGAGCGCTGCAAAGGTTCAATACAGCCTTCCTTCGAGATACTGACAAACTCAATGAATTCAAGGTAGCTCTCAACAACAGGTTCCAAGCCTTACAGGACCTACTGAAGGAAGAAGAAACCACTATGGAGGATAGCTGGAAAGGTATCAAAGAAACATGAACTTCAACGTGTGATGAGGTTCTGGGCCCCAAGAAGCATCATCACAAGGAATGGATCACTATAGAAACACTGGACAGGATCAAAGAAAGAAAGAACAAGAAGACAGCAATTAACAACAGTCGAACAAGAGCAGAGAAAGTCCAAGCACAAGCTGAGTACATAGAAGCAAACAAGAAAGTGAAGAAGAGCATTAGAGCTGACAAGCAAAAATACGTGGAAGAACTAGCAACGACGGCGGAAAAAGCTGCAAGAGAAGAAAATATGAGACAGCTTTACGATACGACGAAGAAGCTAGCAGGGAAATACAGTAAACCAGAGAGACCAGTCAAAGACAAAGAAGGCAAGCCAATCACTGAAATTCAACAGTAGCGGAACAGATGGGCAGAGTACTTCGAGGAACTTCTAAATAGGCCGGCTCCAATGAACCCACCGGACATCGAAGCAGCACGCACAGATCTTCCTATAGGTATCAATCCACCAACGGCCGAAGAAATCAGAATGGCCATCAGACAAATCAAGAGCGGGAAAGCAGCAGGACCTGACAATATACCAGCTGAAGCGTTGAAGTCAGACATCGAAGTGACTACAAGCATGCTTCATCTTCTATTCAAGAAGATTTGGGAGGAGGAACAAGTGCCGATGGATTGGAAAGAAGGACACCTCATCAAGATTCCAAAGAAAGGAAATCTGAGCAAGTGTGAAAACTACAGAGGCATTACACTACTGTCAATACCAGGTAAAGTCTTCAACAGACTGTTACTGAACAGGATGAAAGACGCAGTAGACGCTCAACTTCGAGATCAACAAGCTGGATTCCGTAAGGACCGGTCGTGCACAGACCAGATTGCGACACTACGGATAATCGTCGAACGATCAATTGAGTGGAACTCGTCACTCTACATCAACTTCATTGATTATGAGAAGGCATTTGACAGTGTAGATAGGAGAACGTTTTGGAAACTTCTTCGACACTACGGAGTTCCTGAGAAGATTGTCAACATTATCCGGAACTCATACGATGGACTACAGTGCAAAATAGTGCATGGAGAACAGCTGACTGACGCATTCCAAGTAAGGACCGGAGTAAGACAAGGCTGTCTACTCTCTCCCTTCCTGTTTCTCCTGGTGGTCGACTGGATTATGAAGACCTCGACATCTGAGGGAAACCACGGCATACGATGGACAGCTCAGAACCAATTAGACGATTTGGACTTCACAGATGACCTAGCCCACCTATCACATACACACGAACAAATGCAGATAAAGACAGCCAGAGTGGCAACAGTCTCTGCATCAGTAGGCCTCAACATACACAAAGTGAAAACCAAGGTCCTCAAACACAACACGGAGAACAGCAATCCAATCACTCTTGATGGCGAAACTCTGGAAGATGTAGAATCCTTCACATACCTGGGAATCATCGTCGATAAACAAGGAGGCTCAGATGTAGACGTCAAGGCGAGGATTGGCAAAGCTAGAGCGGCATTCCTTCAATTGAAGAATATATGGAACTCAAAACAACTTTCAACCAATATCAAAGTCAGAATCTTCAATACCAACGTCAAGGCAGTTCTACTGTACGGAGCTGAAACCTGGAGAACTACAACAACAACAAGAAGGTACAGGTATTTATCAATAGCTGTCTACGCATGATACTCAACATCCATTGGCCGGATACCATCAGCAACAGCCTTTTGTGGGAGAGAACCAACCAGTTTCCAGCTGAAGAGGAAATTAGGAAAAGACGATGGAAATGGATAGGACATACATTGAGGAAATCATCAAACTGCATTACGAGACAAGCGCTAACTTGGAATCCTGAAGGGAAGCGGAAAAGAGGAAGGCCAAACAACACATTACGTCGGGAAATAGAAGCAGATATGAAAAAGATGAATAAGAACTGGAAAGAGCTTGAAAGGATTGCCCAGGACAGGGTTGGATGGAGAATGCTGGTGAGCGTCCTATGCTCCTTCACGAGGTGTAACAGGCGTAAGTAAGTACGTTTAAATAGATTTCAGCAGCTATTATGAAACGGATAAATTTAAAAAAGATCTAAGTATATCATATAATTAACTAAGTCATCAATCCAGTCAATTTATCACCATCGTAGTAATTCGAGTTTTCGATCGTAAGGTGTTTCCATCAAATTTTGGATAGGTTTTTTAAATCATGAAATTCCAAAGTACTCTTGAGTTTATCGAATGGCTTCCAGCAACCTAAGTTATCACGATTGTTACATAACAAATTTTACTAATTTTCTGGTTCTATTTCATTTCTGTTTCCGCACACTTATATTTTCTCGCTCATTCGTTTAACAGTCTTATCTGTATTAAAGCTCACTGATAACCTGTCATTTCAAGTAATTTAAATATGCAATATGTTATCTTTCAATTCGGTCAAGACATTTGGTTAGTTCGATTACGAGTGTAAACAGCTACAAAAACCTACAGAATATAATGCATTCTAAATAGTGTATTGCATTTGTTTTTTTATGATGTCAAATTTTTTCTAATCTAGTGATAACCAGTACTGAATTAAGTTGAGCCTGATATATGTACAGAGACTAAGATCTTAACATAAACAGTACAAAAATTAGAATAATGGCCAAACCAGATATTAAACTCAACCAAACTAATTAACAATTTTTAATATACGAAGATTTGTGGAATTTGAATCAAGAAATGATATTAGCCAGACCACCATTAAAAACCTGAAACCGATGGACTGTCGTTTCGTTGTAGTATAAAATTTCTCAGCAGTGCCCATTCACGACCACACTATAGCGAACCGAATCTAGATCGCGCGTGAACAACTAACCTTTACACCGTTAACCTAGCATCCAATGGTGTATATGTCTAACTTCAATCAGTTAAGGATACTGCTCAACCCTCATCCGTTGCTTGAAGTGGATAACTGTCCAACATCCAACACGGTTGAACTCCACTTCTGGATGGCGGTCCGGTGGTCTAGACGTTAAGCACTTTCGCAGAAGATCGAAAGATCTAGGTTCAATTCACTGTCGTTGAGTCGTGGATGGGTACTGCTCAAGAGCTTTTACTATAGTCCAGTGTTTTCAAGTTTTTAATGATGGTCTGGCCAACATTAGTTTTAAAACAGATTCTAGCAAACTGATAATGCGTTATTTCGACTAGATATTTTAAATATTTCAAATTTTGTAGCGACATTCAACAAGAGGTTTGGTTACCACCCACAGATAATCAAGTTAAACATGATTCTGTAGTCACAAAATACTGAGAAATATATTACTACGACCAACATTCGCCATAAGTGTAAGAAAGAAAATTATGTAAACTTACGCTAATTGAGATGGAAATGAATTACGATGAGTATCATCCAAATGGTAACAACGATCATTGCTGTAAAAATGATTTCTTGTATTGAACGAAATGGAATTTGATGGGGGCTTGTCAGAAATACTTGTTATGGATAACAAACGAACAGAATCGTTTGAATGATCAAGTACCTAGAAGTCATTTTAAGAACAGGATATTCTGAAATGTTTTTTACAACTAAATGAAAACAGACTAATATTACAATGGAGTTACGGAAAAGCCTCAAACATAGAATTAGCTAATATGTCACAAGGGGTTGTTATTTACCTTATTTTCTATTATTTTTTTTTTCATGATCTACTATCTTCAACAGAAAACACTTTTGTTAAATATGAGAACGATCTCACTATATGTACACCGATTTTCACCTCTTTATAGCCCCTTGAAATGAATGAATTATTGTCTCTTATTGAGTTGTGGTCTGTTGTTAATGGTCTCACACCTAATCCATCTATATATCAAACTGTTAACTTTAGCCTGAGATATAAACAGCACCTAAACACCCTGTTAGAACCCCATAAAGATGGTACTATTGGAAATTCTTCAATAGAAACGTTCTCAAAGGTCATTTATCTTGGTGTAAGTTTTTTCTCTGATCTCTCTTGGTCTTCCATGTTTGGTTGATACTGAATAAATTTTTCTGTCTGACTTACTGTATAAAGAGGCTTCATGCTTTTTCCATTACGCAACACTAACTTTTACGACTTGTTAATTCTTGCATATTACCTTTAATTCTTTACTGTCCTCCATTATTTTCTCCGCGATTGTGAAAAAAAAGACTATGCTGTATTAAGGAGTGTTGAAGGCAGTTAGCAGGATGTGCGGTGAATCTTTTGAGGCCATTATTAATATGGTTATGGATAAACATCTAAAATCTTGCAAACTTATGGAAGGTGTAGTCTTATCAGGTACTAACCATCCACTTCATTTATATCTTTCTCCTTGTATAACTTCTGGTAGAACGAAATTCCAATACATCAGAATACCTTATTTAGCAAATATATCATGTGACAAACAGGTTGTTAGAGTTGACAGCTTGTATTCCTAAACACGTTTCTAATCAAAACTTTGTACAGATTGAAATCTTAAAAAATGTCTCATTTAATTCCAGGTAGTTTATCTACTTAACTTATATATATATATATGCAATATTATACCTAAAATATAATATTGAATAAAGCCACTAATAATAATGATAATAATTCAAAATATATTCCATTTTTAACTAACTGGATGTAGAATTTAACCATAACCGATGTAAGGGATATATGAGATTTCCTTCATCAAAATACTAGACCTTTAATGTATATGAACTATAAAGATGCTATGTATAAGTTACGACTTAAGGGTTATAAAGCACTTGAAAGCCAGAACTTCAACTAACTGATATGACTGAGAAGTTTCTTGCGGCTTAGCATGCCGGATGGGTGGCCTAGATAGAAGTTAAACAATGATTAACTAGTGTCAGTGATTGATATTGTTGCATCATATAAAGAAATGAGGGTTTCGAAGTACACATCATCTAGATTTCCTTAATCAGTAGTTGAGAACATTTAAGATGATATAACTGTAAACCAGTTAAAGTGGCTTACAGATAGCCCGAGGGAAACATAGTCTCATTAAAAATTCAGTAATCATCTCGGATACAAAATTCAGTTTCATGATTAGTTATCTCTCCCTTAGCTTAATTAATAAATTCAAATCCATTCACCTACTATGAATGATACACTTTAAAGAAATATTGAATTGACAACACATTTAGCATTTTGTAAGATAATGACCTGTTCCATTTCATTTACATAAAGATGGCTCTTTTCTGACTCCATCTTAGATCTTAGAACTATTAGTATATTGTTTACATGAACCTAAGGCTTTCCGTAAATTTTTTTCTATTTATAATTATCATTACAAAATGGTGGTATATAATTTTGGTCCAAAGTTTGCTCTCAACAACTTCAACTTAAAACACACATGGTGAACAATCTAAAACACTAAAAAATCATTTTATTCTTCTGAAAAATTGTTTTCATGTTTAATTAAACCAAACTGAATAATTGTTGATAGTAGTTATTTTTTGTCAAGACAAAGTAATTTCTAATTTCAATAAACCATTTACTTTAATGAAGTTTGTTTCACTGCAAAGTTTAAACCTGGGGTATCAGAATCAATGATATTAAAATGTCACTCGATGAGAATTATGAATATTATCGAAAATTTGTTATGCATTCTAGGAGAACTTAGTAAAATACCCAGCCTTCCCTACTTAAAATCACTAGTACTTACATCTAGATTTTCTTGGGGCAATTAAAATGACAGGCATATGGGTATGTGACAAAGAAACATTTGGATGGTTACTTCTTCAGCATCAAAATATGTGTCATAGGTAATAAGGTTTTAAAAATAGATTTCTACATGTTTCTCAATTTTCGTAACGATGAAACCTATAGTAATGACGTCTAATCAAGATATATGTTCATCCTTAATATTTAAATGAACTCAAAGTTACGATTACTTGCTAAAAAAACCAACCATTTGAGAGAAGGATAAATGGTTCAAAATTTAGAGAAAAAGATTGGAAATGTAACTTGACAGTTGGCTAACCTAACAAAACAGTAATATATTTCAGTTGGTTTAAATGATTCAACTTGCAGTGATCTGTAAAACCTACTGATATGTCGAGAGATCTCAGACAGTTCACATCGAGTTACAACATCAGATAGACTATTGAAAGGATACATGCTAAATGGGAAGTGTAGGTATAGAAAGGCTTAGTGTATGTGAGTGGATTATTTATCTGAAGTAGGTCATCACTCACGTATTCTTATATAAAGCACGTGAGTATTATATATATATATATATATATATATATATATATATATATATATATATATATATATAGAGAGAGAGAGAGAGAGAGAGAGAGAGAACTGGAGAATTGTAACACTTACAATACCGTCAAAAGTTATGAAAATTTAGACTCAACAATAATGATAAATCAGTACAGATTTTATTTCAGTCAGTTTATCTCACGTACCTTGGTCATACCCCCTCTCAACAAGGTATTTTTAATAAAACGTACAAAGTATATTTATATAACATGATTAGTACTAGTTTTCATATTAAAATTTTAAAACAACCGTTTTTAGATTTAAAATCAACTTACTGAGACATTAACTAAGTTATTTTCTTTAAATTTAGACATAAACGAATGACAAAACATTCCACATTGTTTATCACGTTTTGATTTTTTGGGATTAAGTTCAAGACTACGAGATTCACGAAATATATAAGAAAGCCGATTGTTTTTTTCAGTATCACAACCGATGGATTTACGTCTACGATATTCTTCAAGTTTTTGTTCCATTCTAGATGACTCAAGAAAATTTACTGGTGAAAGGTGATTATCAATTGCCAACTCTTCCATTCCCATCCTTTGAAAGATTCGAGAAGATTTCATTGACTAGCAGTAATAGATCAAAAGAATAAAATTTACTAAGTGTTTGTACTGATAAAAGGTTAAAAATAATGTTTGATGAACGCTACTTTTAAACTGCACAAAAACGAAAACAACAGCTGACAGAAACGGTTTAACATCAAGCCTATATGTTATGATACCGACGCATACAAACCACAGTATCACAGCTTTTATAATAAAAAATCTATTATTTATGTTTGCAGAGTATTCGTATTATTTATTAGAATACCTAACAGACACTTTAATAGTAGAAAGAGGAATAGTGACTGATATCTTGGTAAAACTACTACCACATAATTATCTACGTGCATTGGTATGAGCGATATATCTTGGCGTTTGATAGCTAGTTGATGTTAACGCACATGAAGATGAAGGCGTTGTCCACTTAGTTAGATATAGTGTTTCTCACAATCAGAGCAATTTGTTTTGTAGGTAACATTTGGCTTTTCTTCCTTATGTCATTGCATACGATTGATTGTAGTTATTTTGCCAGTTTATGTTGTTTGTGTGTGCTTTTGACTAGTTTTTTTGTCTAACTCAATATGTTTATTCTGTCACCCCACAAAATGTGTGATGATTTGTCAGGTAATAATCCGGTTCCTAAAAACTAAGTTATGACAGTTTCCATAGTATGTTGTATGCTGTAACTAACTTAAACATGCGAGCTAATACGCGAAGGGCAATAAAACGCAATACGTTCACCATATTCTGCTCAGCATGTTGTTTTCAAAACATGAAACTATCAACTGAAGAATTCTCACCTCTTCGACTATACGTTTCTGTTCCAGCCATTGTTCAAATTGAATAAAATCTGAAGCACGCATTGGCCACTTCGCACTGCTTTCCTTACGAAGGCTTTTTCGTGCTGTTTTAACAGCTCTAAAAATAAATAGGTTTTGAAAATGTCCAAGTATAAACCAATATATAAATCTGTTAGTTCAATGACCTAAATAGCCACAAAGAAATGGAACATTCTAAACAGAATGATACTTAAATGAAGTAAGTAATAACATATATATTCAACTAAATGAATAAATTTAAAACGTGGAAGTACTTTGTGTTATGTTAAATTTTAACAAATCCGATATTTCATTTGAGTCATCATAGGTAGGCTAATAAGTTTCCTTTGTTTATAAAAATTCACTATTGAAAGTTTGGAAAAATTTCTTTTGCACTTATGTAAATTTTATGTGCATTTATATCAAAAGTGTATAACTGTAAAAACCACACCAAATAAATACATTGAATCCGAGAATACTGTGGTTACATAATTGTGACTACTAAGAATATGACAAAGTAAAAATAGCGCTCCAAACAATATATGGAACACTTACTGAATGGCTGTCTCCAAACTAGATATCCAATCTTCAGCTTCAGTTAAATTTCCATTCACGATAGTAAAGTTAGCGTCACGACAGTGCACCTAGAAGACAAAAATATTCGTATATCAATAATAACTGATCTCAATGTAAAAATATAACGGCTATGAAAGAATATTTAAGTTTTATATATTATGCTTGGAATTTTTGCAAAACAAAAAACATAATAGGATGAAGTCAATTCATTTTATTCAGTGAGCTCTAAATCTCCCACTGACCTTTATAAATACATAAGATGTTTCACAAATGTAATTTCCTATACAATATGCATAAAGTCATTTAGTTCACTAATAAAAATTATTATCATTACTTTCCATGTTGATATCATCTCCAGAAATTATTATTATTTTCACCATTAATATTACTTTACTATAGTTTCTTGGTAAATAATATCAATTTTGTGACCTTGTCAACTGTGGTCATAGCACATTGAACATGTTTGTTGTGCTTGATTACATTATGTTTTCTTCGCTCCTATTTCATTCTTTTATAAAGTGAACTTAAAAATATAGAAGGCTATTATAATTATTTTTCGCCCGTGAACTTGATAATCTTACGCATATTACACACTAAGCTACATTTGCAAAACATTTAGTGTATAAGTACAATTTGGTGTCTATGTGGAAGGTTTAGGGTACAAGAGATGAAATGAATTCATTTCGACCTAAACCCCTAATGTTTTCTATGCCTTTTCACAAATCTAACTAAGTAGTCGATACATTTCCTTACATGTCTATACGAAAGTTTCCTTTGATACTGGGTATTCTCGGTAACAAAAAAGTATAATCATTAAACCACTGGAAACTTACGAATCGATTTAATTTATCGACATTACTTATTTAAGGATGATGCTCCTCCGGCATTGAAAGCAACAACACTAGACACAATAAATAAGTAATTTAATATGACATTAAATTATGGGTGTTATATCTCTTCTGTAGAAATAATGAAAATTGAATAGTACTTTGATTTACAAACGAAACAACTGAAAATGTGGATTACCGTAGAACAGTATTAAATTTTCTTTTCGACAAAATCATTTACTTAGGCTGTACATTTGTACTGAAAAACATGCAGTGAACTGCTTTAAAAATATAGGATATGAAGTTCACAACTATGCAGCAATATAAAAACGGCTAACTAATTAAAATAGACGCATAAGACAGTTAGAATCGTCGGAGACAATGTGCTTGCTGAATACTTATTTTATTTGACCTGGAACCACGACCATTTGAAGAATAACTTCAATCGAAATAATTTACCGTGAATGTTTTGTAGAAGAATATTAACACAATATAATAGGCTAAGTATAAAAATCATTTATTTGTAATATCCCCAAACATTGTCATTACTACTACCAATAGTTTGGTGACAAAAACACTTCGATTATTGGCAGTTTATAAAAATTAGTACAAACTGGAAAATGGATTCTAGTATACCCTATTGAAGTGCACTTTTTGGGTGAAGATCAGTGATCTTCCTTGACAACAAAAAAATGCAAATATATATCGATGAGATTTTTAGCCATTGATTTAACACACTGATAATGCCATCTTATTACCTAATTATTTGCTGAATATATATTACATGATTATCATGCAAAAAAATAAAAAAGTTATTTAAATGGTAAGACGTACAGTGAAACTGTATTCATTCAAGGACTCAGGGTGTTTCATTGTGTAGTCATCTTCATTGAAGGTAATAAATGAATCCGATTTCAATCTTACAACAGATGTTGATCCACATGCATATTCATCGAATGCCAATGGTGTTGATGCAGTGTGACCTGAAAAGAAACCCAAATACAATACCACTATCGTTGACCCATTGGTTAGTTCAATCTTGAATAATATGCTTTAATGAGCTGGTTATTGCATGGCCTAGTTTTTAATTGGTATATCTCAAGACTACGAAGAGCCCAAAGTGGACTGCTATTCTACCCCCAACAGAGAGTAAAGAGTTTGTTGATTAATAACCCACCAGAACCTTTACAAATCATAAGGCATTTATAGTTGTAACCACATAACAAATTCATTCCCTAATGTTAAACCAAACATTAGTGTATGCAAGTTTTGGACTTATCACTTTTTATTCAACAGGCACGAGATGAGAGTAACTTTAAAGTCGCTTACATTGGGGACCCGAGACTCTCAATAAGCAAAACAATAAAGGAAAAGATAGAAATCAACGTCATACCAAGACAATCAAAATAGACGGCTGTTTATATCTATCTAAGATTAACTTATTGTTTACTAAATATGGGGAAGTTAATTTTTTCAAATTTTAATGGTATACATTTTTCGAAAAGCCCCCCAAATGCCCTGGTACGACCGAGAGTGGGGAGAGTCATCTCTCCCTTTCGAAATGTTCTCGAATGACCACGGTCATACAACCACTGGCAAAGAAGTCCTACACACTGCCTTCTCGCGGTGGGTGTGTTGTTTACGAAAATGAGAAGAGGGGAAGAGGATATCCGGCGCTTTAACCTGGTCGGTGGATATGAAGGATCCACCTAGGTGAGTTGGAAACCCTTGTTTTCAGACCAGTGGTGCACGCGGGCCCCAGAATCCCGAGGAAACAAATGGCGTATGAACCGATTGGTAGTCACCAGATACCATGGGACTGCATCTCCCTACGTTGCTCCAATGCTTTGTGGATCAGACCTCCAAGTCGAAGGCTCCGGGTGTGGCCCCTAAGAAAACCACCTGCTGTGGTTTGGGCACCCGGGCAGTATCATGGCTCTCACACATATCAATGATAACTGCTACTGGCCACATTATTATGTGTGCGACATTGTACCAATTTTTATTTGTTCAAACAAATAATAAAGAAGAAAAGCCGTCGAAAGGTGTAACTTCTATGGAAATGCAGTACATTCAGGTCAAGTATTAGTAGTATGGATGGACATAAATGCATTTAGACGATAACTTAAAACCACCTTACGAAAAAACTCTGAAAGCTAAAATATTTTATTGTTTACAGACTGAACATGTTCTTTTTCATAATTCTAATGACTACGCATTTTTTACTTAAAAAACACAAATGTTCTAAACCAAACTAAACAGACATAATCTAATAAACGAGTGCTATCGAATTCATGGTGGCTTAGCTAGTGAAAATAAAAAACGTCCAAACGTGGTTTATACCCGAAGTCGGAAAATTCTTTTCTCATATTGTAATCTAAGCATCAAATGACAGGAATGGAAATAAAAAACTTATGGTATATAAAATAATATAATAATGATATTAAAGTTTATTATGTAATAAGCAAAAAATTATAAATATATTAAAATCAATATAAGCAAAGATGGATAGTGGCTAGCAGTGAAATCTAGGACGCGTGTTTCGTCCTACTTGGGATTCGTCAGCTGGATGTGCCTGCATCTCAGAGTTGATGTTCACTCTGGGACTTGAACCCAGTACCGTTCGCTTCTAACGTCATCGCGTTATCCACTTAGCCTGGATTCCACTGCTAGCCGCTATCCATCTTTGTTTATAATGCTTGTGAATTAAGGCAATACCCACAGTATGAAACATATGCCAATAAGAGACTAATCAATTTCAGTCTAAAACATCAATGGGAAGATTCAAGTAAAATAGTAACAAGTGAATTATATTAAAATCGTTTTGCATTCACACATGTTTGTTCAGATTTGACATTATAATAACATTTAACAATTTGTTTTGCAAAAGCCCGTTAAAAATTCCCTACTATTTTTAAAAGTTTGTATCAAATCACAAAATAACTAAACAAGTAACGCATGACAGATTAATTCATATGCTTAAGAAAACTGATAAAAAACTGAATAATTCAGGTATTTTTAAATGTTAAAGTTTAATGACAATATACGATACTACACAAATAAACAAATCAAGCAACCAATATTGTAATTAACAGAGAATATTACTCACGACTAAATCCACCAATAGAAATTGGTGAAATAAACACTGAATTATGTTGATTTGGTTGACATTCAGGAGACTCAGGAATCGGTTGCAGAAACGTATTATGTGGTTTAAAATGAATTCGAACATGACAGTGATGAAGAGGATAGACAGCAATACATGAAAAACAAACTTTACTATCCGTTAGAAAATCAGTTGAGTCGTTAAAAGTTCGAGAGTTAGAACTTCGTGAGATTGATTTAGAGAATTTAGAAACGTGAATCAATGGGTTTGTGTCATTCGACCTTCGAATATGTTTTGTACACCCTAAAGATATTTTTCTTCCGTAAAACTGTGTAAAAGGATTCGGATATTTTCGACTATGAACACACTTTTTCTTGCTGAAAATAGATTCCAACTCCGTCTGGGTTCGCGGTTTAGCACATATCAGTATATCAGACATAATCACTAGTAAACGAGTTTCTGCAAGTCCATCAAGAGAATTCACCTGCAATGAAAAAAGCTATGATTACATATTAAACAAAGTAAATAAGTTAGGTTATCGACATAGAAAGCGATTGAATTGAGAGATAAACTACATGTTTAAATTTTCTGCACAAATTGCCAAAATCACAAATCAATAATGATACATATGAAGTTGTACTCAGCTTAAACACTCAATACTCATAGGTAAAGCCTAAAACCACTTTCGTTTTTGTTATAACGTTCGGTATTACTTCGTCTAATGTTATAACGCTTAAACAATTATCTACACTAGATCCCTTCCAGTGTCTATTCTACAGGACTTCAACACAACTCAGATCAAGAACATGTAATCAGCCTGACCAGAACGTAATATATTTCCACACCAAAAACCGACACAATCCACAACAATGAACAATCAATAATAAGTATATATGTATATAAGTGAGTCACAATAATAAGGGTAAGGGAATGTATAACTTATCTGACACCTGTCAGACTGTCTACATGTCTGACTAAGCAGAAAATCAATCATGATCATTCTCGCCCACACAACAGTTTTAAGTTGTTAATGAAGAGTGATAACACTCCAAAAACTAAGATTTCAAAGTATAAAATTAACAAACCGACTATGTGACTTCAAGAACCTAACACCATAGAACTTTAAAATACTTACTTTGTTCACCAATCCATACTTCAATAGTTTACGCCCAGGTACTAAAATGAGGTTGTGTGACCATTTGCCAAAAAGTCTTGATTGTAATAAAGCGGCCTTAGTAGCTTGTTCACTGATTCTAATCTGTTCATTTAAAAATGTTGCTGTAGCTACCACGCTAGCAAAACCTGCAATAAGAATAATTGTGGAAGCACACATTCTATGAATATATCGTTTCAGATCTGAAAAACTTGAATCATGAGATTCTGGAGAGTAATGCATTTGTTGATGATTATCCCATAGCTTTAAAATAAGAGTGGCTGCATATTCTGGTGTCATAAAATGTTGACGAGCAGCTTCGTTAATTCTAATGGCACATTTATTTGCTTCTGGATTACTTAAACCATCCAGTTGAAGGCAAATGATAACAAGTTCTTGGAGCATTAAAGAATACCTGCAAAAAATAGAAGTTTGTTAAATTTTCGCGTACATCCATCAACATTGCAGAAACATAAAATTAATTTCACTGAAGACCTACTCCTTTTATTCAACGGCAGGCAGAAAATAATTAATAGCCTATCTGTGAGACCATACACATGTCTGCGTACAAAGAACTAAACCACACAAATCGTAGTACAGGTAAAAATATTAAACGCATACATGAGCGTGAAATTCGAACCACAGAGCACAGGAAACATAATTTGTGAGCGGAGCAACAATACAATAAAATTATATTTTCGACAGTTTGATTCTGACACAAAAGTGTAGTGGTAATTTGCTGACACGCTTGGTCAGACATGTAGGTTTTAGCCTTCAAGGGTATCAAAATGTGTATGTCGTGTCACATTCCAGGAAACAAAAATTATCTAGAACTCTTCCTAATAGTTCTTTCAAATGACATCGATGCCCATAAAATCCTTCTTTTAAAAAAAATTAACGCGATCAGGCAAGGCATTAGTACATATAAAAAGCTATACTCAACAAGCATGGTTCTACAGATATCAATTATCATACATAATATAACCAAAAATTTATCAATACAGAAACATACCGAGGAATGCGCTGTATGGGCATTATGAGGAGTGCTGAAAGCTGCAAATTAACGTCTGGTAAGCTTTCTTGTTTGCTTATAAACTCCATCAGTCCTGGTATGAATGAATTACAAGTCTAAAAGACCAAAATAACACTTAATTTAACATGTACGGATACCACGAACTAAGCAAAATCTAAACCACATAAAAGTAACTTTTTCCTGCTAACCCAAAAGCACTCAATTGTATTCCGTAAAGTGATTTTTTGTAAATGTTACAAAATAATTTAAATAGCAAATGAGTTTCTTAAGAACTATGATTAGTACCAAAGTGTCAACCAAACAAATTCAAGAGAATAACAATAAGTAAAGGAAGTATTCATATGTACAAAAGAACATTTGCCCACTAAGAATACTATAGTTTATATACATTTTTAAGTCAATATGTTGTGGGTAAATAAATGAAAGTAGACAAACACTGTATATGCACGTCAAAAAATAACAAAAGTTTCCATATAAATATATTACGAATAAATTGGAACTTGTACACAAATAAAATCTTGATAAAGGGTTAGTTCAGCTTACCAATTGACTTTCCACTGTTGATTTATAATTACGCTTGTTAATGTGGGATTTTATGAACCCTCATATTCAGATCTGCACGTTTTAAAAGAGGCATACACTTTAGCTATCTTCATTCTTTAAGGAGAATTTTCAGACTAAGGGTTTCTTTCCTGTATATTTTTATAATGTGAAGTTCTCTCCGTAAAATGTTCTATACCATAGCTAACAATCAGAATTTACTAAAATATGCGGAATATGGAAATAAACTTATATGAACCTATGTTGTTTGTAATACAAAAACAGTACATTACGGATTTGACAAAAGATGTTCCTGAGAGATTATATGGAGTTGAAAATCTCCCTGATCACTTCAAGTAATAATTTCGATAATGCGTGACTTAATTAATGAACAAAAGAAAAGAAAGAAAGCGTACTTAGTACGTTCAAAGCTTAGAAAATTGGATTCTCAATAAATCTATGTCGGAATGTTCGTAGTATTTCGAGTGTTTATCCTTATGTGATTATATAGAAGTATCATCTCTTGGTCTCGAATTTTGTGGTGGTCATAGTATTATTTGCGAATTGAGATTTAAAATATCTACCCACAAACAAGAGGCCTAATACCTTTTATTTACGGGATGTAGAAGGCCTTAACTTCAGTCTAGTAGACTGTTGCTATTATTATCTATACTGCAAGCACAGAATTGAAGGAATGTTGACCAAAAGACACAAAGAATCCTTACTTAAACTGAAGAAGAGATAAGTACAATGTCCTCGAAGAATGACCCAACAGAAGAGACTACTACAATTGACTTAATCACCAAATAGCCCAAAACAAACAGGTGCAATCTCTCAGGACTTTTATGTAACACTCAAACCCAGTGGTACCATGTCACTAAGGCATTATATCTATCCAAAAGTATATAAATCTGGATAACCACTTAATCAAGTCCTTGGTTTCGTAAATCCACGCCTTTGAGGCAGAAAGATGGACAGCAGAACCTCTAAAGGTACTGCATAGAGACGTCTCACAGCACGTCATGAAAGTTAGTTTTAAATCTATTGATAGAACTAGAAATTTGGGGATGAATAATAGATTTATGATATCAATGGATGTTTCACGAACGTGTCTTTAAGGGAAATAGATGATTTCATACATACATTGTTAAACTGATCAACCACTACTTGTTTGCGATCGATTTCATTCTTAACTGCTAAACCTATGTATTAGTGTAGAGCTTTGATGAAGAACTAGTGGAAAAGAAGTATTTCTTCGCTCAACTTGCTTTTTAATATCTCAATGGAAATATCTCAAATGCAATGATTGTTGTCAGGTTATATTTTAGCTCGAAACCTTCAGTCCATAAAATACCTCAGAGGAGGCCACAAGGACGCTATTTTACAAAGTTTAGGGTATATGAATCTTAGTCTTTTTAAATGCTCTCCATTTCTGTCATTGCATTAGTCTCAGCATTGATTCCTTTGTTTACAACATTCATGGAATGTTGTGCAAGTCAGACCTTTTTACTACCTCATTATTTCATTTTTTGCACGATCTTGTACAGACGAGTTTTCTAAATTTAGGTCACTAGAAACTATGCTAACAGGAGGTCGACGACTAGAAAGTAAAAGAGATTGGTGCACGTTCAGTGTTTTCATCAATACAGGTACAGAGTTATCCCAACGTTGTATCAACCATGTAGTCTTCACAACTCATACTGAAACACTATATTGCCTTTTTCGGAAAGCTAAATCTTTATAATCTCCCCAAACTTGCCGGAAGATTCATGAGTTTTTCTAATGCTCCAAAGAAAATCATAGTGTCTCAGTTTGCTTATGAATTAAACTAACCATGTATTTCAGACGTAAGATTTCAGTTATGTAGCCCTTTATGCCAATAGTGAAACAGTGCATTTAGAGGAGTTACTTTTAGCATGCTATATTTTGGTTAACTATGTAATGCAGTAGCAAAAGGGACAGTTCAGGGACAAACGAGAAACTTACAAAGTTAGGGGAATGTTTTGCAAACTTTTAAGTGGGAGCAAATATTAACATCCGACCAGTTTGGAGCTTAGAGGAAGTTGTATTTTGATTCAGACTACCTGATCTTGTAAATGACAGTAACAGTACAGATAGAAACATAATAAAAATGTAACCAAGCAAACTGAACAACTCGCCTCCATAAACACCACGTTTGTTTGGTAGCGGCTGGCATAATCTGCATATAATTTCAGACATGGAGAAATTTTCAGAAATGCTTTCTCAACTCCAACAGTTAAAATGGACTCAAGAAGAGTTTCATTGACACTTAAGATGGGCACGAGACGTCCAAAAATTTCAGAGTGTATATCTTCCGGCAAGTATCTGCGGTCAGTTAAGGGCCTTGCAAAGTACTAAAAGATTAAATAAACAATATGAAGTTACCTTCAAAACCTTCTTGAGGTAACTTATGTATTTAATTTCAGAAGTCACAAGTTCGTGTATTAGGTCATGTTTTGATCGTAGAAGTTTGACTTCGGCATTTGAGTTATTTGTGCGTAAAGAGAATGAATTTTTCATCGGCAGGACTTATAACAAAGGTAGCAAACGTCTTTTAGAATGTTGACAAAGTTAACTTGAACTTTCTCTTAATTCAGCTGGAAAGGAAGTCAAATTTCTGTGAAAGAGTAAAACAGAAGAAAAAATAAAACTATCACGTATGCAAAAAACACCTCCAAAAGACTTCAGATAAATCCATGACTCCATTTGTAAGTTAATTGCTCTTAATGTACAATCAAAGCAATCAAGCGTACGCAAGAAGCATGATGAATGTATGTCGATTTCCTCAACATACTGCGAATATTGTCAAACTTAACCTAGAGATGATTGCTTACTGAAGCCTCATGCCCTTTTTGGACATGGGTGTCTGGCCAGAGATTTACGAAAAATCTCCGCTTTAGATTCTTATTTCCAGCTGCTGACAAGTGACATCTACGGTATCGATGTCTCGATGGGATACCTAGTTAGTTGGATACACTAATAGTGTTCTCGTGACTTTCTTGATCCATCGAAGGCGGTGAGGTAGATTGTTGTATTCTAGGTACAGAAAAAATGGTGTGCTATATACACTTCTCCTTGTTATTGTTCATAATAATAGTTTAGTATTAAATAACTATAGCTATCAGGTAAGGTAAATGTGGCATCATGGGAACTCGAAAAATTATAGACTAGATGGAAATGTAACATACTACATGAAATATCATTTTCTCATAGAACAACTAAAATGACAGATTGAATTAACATTGATGCTTAAAGTGGTAACTTCAGTTATGGGATCAAAGTGTGCCACCACACTTAGTAGTCAGAATAAGATAGACTCTTAGCCAAGTCATTGATGGATTCTCTTGAACAGATTACTTGCGACTTAATCCTCATGATTTTAAAAAGGGGTATTAATAATGAGTCAGTAAATTAAACCAGAAATAATACCTTTTTATACCATTTGCTGGTGTTATAATGTACAAACATACACAAATGAGTTATTATTTAAACACTCGATTGTGCTCATACTTCCATTCAATATGTTCTTCGATGCATCATAGAATATGAAATCCAGTGTCTGATAATAACGATAGTTTTCGAACTGACGGGTCTTTCCCATAAAATATGCATGGAAGTTGTTTAGTTTAGCTTTTAATATGCGTTCCTGCAGAGCCAGTCGTGTTGATGTCGTATTCTTTAAATCATTGTTCCCATAGTATGTTGAAGTTTAGTCTACCATTTATGATTTTCAAAATAATGCCATATGCCTACTCACAAATAAAATCAAAAACCCCTTAAACCCCAGTCAAAAAATTTCAAGAAGTTTAGTTAATATTCACTTTGAAACCTAAAGTAAGGTCAAAAATATCTCGAAGTTTACTACTTTCGTGTACTATTAAGATGTTTTTATCAATCCATAATTTTTCCATGACAATATCTTTATTAATTGATCTGGGGAACTCATTTAATATCAGTCAACACAAACGTAATATTATTTTATGTTTATTTAGCTTCATGCTTTGAAATAAGTAATTTTTAAACTGTTTAGTCGAAACTGTCGCTGTTACATTCATCACTTTGCGAGTTATAAGGGTAAAAGTTAAATAAAGTTTTGTTACTCAAAGTTCCACATAAATATTATTGTGCAACCTTTTATCCGTTTTGAAATTTGTGATGAAGTTCCTAGTTCTTTTATTTGGTTTCCCATACCTTATAATAAAGCTCAATAAATCTGCTAAACATTCGTAATGATTTTATCGTACCTACGTCTACATTCATCTAAAATAATCGGTAAAAAGCACTTTAATGGATGAAATTTCAGTTTCACTTGCTGATAGCGACAAGGCGTTTAGTACAGACCGTAAGCTATTTACAATAATCGATCCTGATGCGTATGATTAGTGTTTCAAGTCGTCTACACTACTTTTTTCCAGCAGTTGTTAACATTATATAAAAAAATTACCGAACGAATGTATATTGGGGCTTATTGGTGTATTTTTATGGGAATTGATCCAGTATGCAATAAGGATTGAAAGACAACTGCAATTGTTTGTGTGTATGGGAAGCTTTATCTGGTTTGTAGTGTTTTGAAGAATCTCATCTAAATGTAAGCTAAATACCATTTTTTAAAACGGAACAAGAAAGTGATTACCTTTGTAAAGACTTAAGTCTATACAAATGTGTTTTTTTTGTATTCAAAGTATATTGGTGATCTTCAGACCTCAGTAAAACTTCTCTTATATCATAGATAAACATGCTTACCTTTCAAATAACGCAACTAATAGCATCCACAGGTTTCTGGTCGCAATCACAGTCTAAATGAAAAAGCAGTTCATGCACAACCTGACAACAACGGAAACCAATTCACACACGAATACGGATTCAGAAATCAGAGTGAGCGCTTCTAAAGTTTAAAAAAATTGAGAGTAGAGCGTCCAATACTTTTGAACTTAAAACTGTAAGGTGGATTTAGAAAATTGTTTGTTCATTCTTATAAACATCATTGTAACAGAAGATCATTGTAGATTATAGGGAAATAAGGTTTTCCCTGTGTTTTCTAAAAAACTTAAAGCCAAAATAAATTTAACTTCAGTCCAAACTTGGGAAGATTCAGTTCCAGTTTGGAAATGGCAATAAGCTTGTTGGCTTGGGTAAGTCCTGGCAATGATGGTCTCTCAATTGGTATAACTTTCCTTTGAAAGATTCGACAGCTAGGGCTTCAATAACGTGTTGACGTTATGCAATCCGCTCGTTTATGACTAGAAGGAAATGTTAACATTCAGCTGGCAAGTAATTTGTTCTGGGCTTGTGAACTTTTCTAATGTGTCCTCGTAAATTTTATGTTTTGGAGGACAAAAAATTAGGACATGTCAGATACAAGTTTATTATTTAGTTTTTATTTAGAACAGACCTCTTTGAAGTCAGTCTTTCCTCCTTTGATTGACGTGAGTCAGCCGTTACCGAGCTCATTTGAGGTGGCTGCACATCAATTTCTGCATCGACAGAGTGAATACTATCGAATGTGACCTGAAGTTGTTTACTAATACACTTGTTAGCTTCATTTACCATTGAAATGGTCTCGGTTAGCAAGCTGTTTGCATCCGAGCGGCATTTCTTACATAACCACAAGCAACCATTTTTACTAAACCGTTTGAAATCCTCAGACTTTAGATACATACGAACTTCGTGGCACCAGTCTTTGCATTTAACGCGCTGCATGCTGCTTTCAAGGGGAAACAAAACGAAATTCTTATAGGATACTTTGACTGAAATAAATTCAAGTAAAGTGTAAACAGTGATGTTGATGTGCAATAAACGACCAAAACAGTAAATTTTATTCAGCAAAGATAAATACTACTGTCCTTTTCAAAAGCACGCAACTTTGGGCAATAAGCTGGATGGCTTGTGTTTGTTCTGTAGATAGGAGATTCTCAGTCGGTCTGACTTCTTTTCGATGTGTTGACGGGTTGAGATCAAGCCACGTCATGAGTTAGGGAGTGCCACGTCTTAATGATTGGTCCTTTAGGGGACGTGAACACTGTCAAGATTGTCACGCCGTTCTAAAATCGTACTAAGTTTGGGAGGGAATTAACTTTTCATTCGGAAACCTGAACATTTTATTTTGAAAATATTTTTTTATAAATTTTATCAACCTTACGGGTTAGGCATACAGGCCAATAGTTCGCTTTCTTCTTTTGAAGACAGAACTTAGAACGGTATTCTTTCAGTCGTCTGCTAATTTGCCGTTTTAAAACAGATATAAGAAAACGTCGTAGTCGTACATACTTTGTCAAAGTAGCCTGGCAATACCCGATAATACTATAGTCGTCTATTACTGATAATGTAATATTGCTACGGAGCTCAGAATTGTGTAGCAAGGATGAAGGCCTGCGGACTATGCCAGCCTCTTTCTAGTGGCTTTCTGTGAGTATCTAGTCTACTCTTGAATGAAGCAATTGAAGGTACGGGTACCGCTGCTTCGGGTAACAAGTTCCAAAAATTGATGTCTCGATGTAAATGCTTGTATGCCACGAGTATTTCATTCGTTCTTGGTTTTTCTACTCTCCTGCTATGTATTCTGAGTTATTTCGATCTAGTAGAAAGAAAAAGAGAGGATATCAGGTTCAAAATCATTTCTTAGTACTCAGTGCATCAAAATCAGATCACATCTTAACCTGCGGTACGACGTATAGCTTTTCAAGCTGCTCTTTGTATGGCAAACCTTGGAGTTCTGGAATTGCGCGGGTAGCTGCCCTCTGTAGTTTATCCAGTATATCCGGATCACCTGAAGTGCATATAAATCTGTTATTTCTCACCAGATTTTTACATCATCAGATTAGAATAGCAACGGGGACTACACTATACTTGGGACTTAACTTACGTTCAGTATAAAAGGTACAGACACTAGGACTGAGCCATGTGGATCTCCACTAAGTACTGATTTGCTTCTACTTTCTATCTATGCCATACCAGAAAATTCTAAGTCCATTTTAGGAGTAATCCTGCAATGAATAGATTTCGCAGTTTCAATAGTAGTTTCTTTTTGGCACCTTATAAGATGCCTTGCTGAAGTCTATGTAGACAACATCCACTTATTTTCTGTCTGTAGAGCCTCTATCCCATTCTTTCTTGCAAAAAAAGGAAATTTAATTCTCAAGATAAATCACTTCTGAAACTATATTGTTCGCTTTTTAAAGTTGTTGATTTCCACAAATGTTATTATGGTCTTCTTGATTATTATTTCGTTTATTTTGACCACGACGCTGGCTATGCTAACAGGTCTGTAGTTTGATGGACGCTGTCTTGAACCTGCTTTATGTGTTTTGGAAAGACAATCGCGTCCTTCTAGTAACTCATCTTTGCCATATGACAAATTGAATATCATAGTCAATTGGGCAGCAATATATTGTGCAATTAGTCTCAAGATTTTAACACGTGGTTCATACGGCACTGTCGACTTTTCCGTGTCAAACGTGTTAAGAGCCTTTAGTAAATTGCAACGATCGACTTTCATAGTGGGCAGTTAATTTTGGGACTGTGTATTGGGGTCTTGCTCTTCGTTTAGAAGAGGCTGTCGAGCGACAACAATTGTTCGCCATAGCCTCTGCTTCTTCCTAACTATCCTCTATCATTTCAGACCAACATCTAGATTGTAATTATTTACTTATTTCATACCGACCTGTAACGTTCCATCGTACTTGCTGTTCCGATATTTCTTGTTTCGTCATGGCAAACGACGAAAACCCAGTCTATTCACGGATTGCTGAGCTTCTTCTCCTTTGAGATAATCTACGTATGGAAGGTTGAGTTACGTGACGGTATGTTTGCTGGAGAATAAGTCGTGCCTCTTCTACTGACGTATTTGAGTCTGTTATCGAGATTGCAGGTGCGAATGATGTCCTTCATGCCTGCTTTACATATATTAGGGCGGGCTGTCGCAGCTGCTTGAAAGGCCATCCTAGCCATGAACGTGAATGAGATGGCAGCACGATCACTTCTCCCTAAAGGTGAGAGGAAAAATATTTGGCTGGCATTATCACCGTGTATGAAGACCAAGCATAAGTAAGACAAGAATTTTCGTAGGTCATATTTCCAGGGATCTATAATGTGCTGGACTAAATATCGCGCGACTGTGGTTTCTAACTATTCGCAATGTTTTTGATGGCTCTTCATCTATGCTTAACCGATTTATAGAGGGTGCATTAAAGTCGCCTACAACTGTTCGACCAGGATTTAAGTTTATTGAAATGCTAATTTTAGAAACCTCTTTGTTGTCTATCCCATTTTCATTCAGTAAATTATTTCATGTAACAGTCTGTCACAGCTATGTCTGGTTCAATGTTAAACATGCCCATTTTTCGTTTAATATGCTATACTTATCCTTCATATACATAACACGGGTAACAAAAAATCATCACTCGATCAAATTAACTAAATGAATAATGTATTGAAACAACTGTAAAGCAAAAATGAAAGAAATAAAACGCGCATAATACTCAACAGTTCCATAAAATAATGTGTACAAGTAATACATAGGGACAGAACATTCATGAAAATAATAAGAAACAAACTTTAAAGTTCAAGAAAACGCGTTGTCACATCAAACGTACATATAGGAAGTAATATGAATAAATATTTCATTTGTAAGTGAAAAAACCACTTCGATTGCAATGAACCAACCCAGATTGAAAACACTTTAATCAGTAAGGTTCAATTTACCTGGGGTCATCACCGTTCAAGATCAACGCTTAATTTATGGAGAATAACACAACGAAATTAGTTAGTCTCCAGCAGAAAAATATTCGTTTCACTTTTGCCCAATGATTGATATTGTTTATTAGCTACTGAAATTAACCCATGGTATACATCGTCCAGGCTTTTCTTCAGAAAACTAGAAACATTTCGTCTCGTGTCGTTTCTAAGCCTATGGTCCTGAAAAATGTATATGCTAAGGACCATTTTGTATCGCCAATAAACCAAACACAAACTTGGACATTTGAATGGAATGTCCTCTCCTTTGAGTAAATGCTTGATACAAGAATCGGTGACGAAAGGTTTCAATGCTAAATCGAAGTTTCTTTTCTCAAGCACACTTTCTAAGAATAGAATAAAGTGAAAAGATATTCAACAACAAGAAAGATAGATACAAAAGACTATAGAGATCTGGTCCATTAAGAACCTGGTCGTTTTTAAATAAGTATAATCAATGGAAGAATGGCGATTTTTGAGCGACTAAGTAAGCAGATTAATTATAACATATAAGGCTTTTAGATTAATCGATCACCAGCAATTAACATATCTGAAAATAACTAATATCTGTCCCCGTTCACCTATAATTGGATTCTTTAACACGCTTTATCTCATAAGCTAAATTATTATAAAGGTCACAACAACTAAAGCACAACACGGAATGAATAGTTGACAAAAGCTGGAAAGGTTTCAACGAATGAAAATAAAACTAAATAAACCTTCCAACAGAAAATAACGATTCAAATAACTCTCATAAATATTGTACTAGTCATGCAGAATAATGAGAAGAATATTAACCATCAAAGATAAAAGAAATCTAATACATACAACAATATTTCTGAAACTAGAACAAAACAGAGCAGGGAAAGCATGTATTTGGTATAGCGTGAAAACAGGGAATTTTATTCATTAAGGTATAATAAATGGAAAAGGGACTGAATATGCAAGGGAATGAATTTCGTTTATTTTTCACCCTTTCTATAGAAATGTTGGTCCTAAATGTCTTGATTGCCTCTCTTTATGAGATTTACAAATGCATCGTAATCCAATTTGCCTTCTTTAATTGGAGCTTCTTTCCACGTTTGTCTTATCTACATAGAGGCGAAATAAAAGGTTTGCGTGATATACATTTTAATTACAATCAAGATTTATTGAAATAAGTGAAACACTTTTTTATGGTTGTGTTAGATAATTGTCCAATGTTCTCAAATCTTAGTCTAAATCCTTAGGGTTTTATGAAATAAACTGCACCAAATTTAGAATTCTCTGATATTAAACACTGATGAAATAAGGGATGGTAAAAACATTATTGCGAACTAACCTGTGGATCAAAGAAATGAGTATTCTGTAACTACACTATTGATAAGTACGTAAGAGGGAAATTTACGATTAAAATCGGTAAAATAGTACAAAATTCATTTTGTAGTCATATACATTTTCTTCCATACCTTCAAATATTTAACCAATTCGGATTTTGGACATAATTACCAAAGAATAGATAATTTAGGCTCAATATGCAAGCATTTTAATAAGAATATAATTATTAGCATAAATTCATGTTATATTACATTTTAGAAAATGGAGTCTAGTTCCAAGATGAATCGACAAAATAGTTTAAATATACATTGGTTTATTCATTTATTTATTTCACACATTAGCTGATCTTTATGAATACTCTACTTAACTTACATCTATTTTATTTAACCTAAACAATTTCGAATTCTAAAACTTAAATAACAAATTACTATACAATTACTTATTCAAAGAAAAGACTACTATTCAGTCACATTCACTCACCTCTTCAGCAGAAAAATTATCGCCCATATTTTCTAAAAGATCTTTAATGCTAAAATATGATTATGATTAATTGTAAGTTATAAAACACCTACTATTCTTCTTCTAAATATCGTTTGTTCCCTGGATCAAACATTGCAAATGCATTACGTAGTGCATCTTCAGGATCAGTACCTGAAACACAGAACAAAATTGTGAAAAGATAGTTTATTTCTTGTAGTTTTAATGGTTAGTTTGAAAATGAATTGAAATTTTTATGTGAATCATTCAAATCAAGGAGCAATAAATAGGTATACAATACTAGGCTGAAGATCTATATTGCTGAGTAATCATAATCGCACACATTACCAAACTCGAAACCTTAAGGTTCTATTACAGACATAAGTTTTGTCAAAGTATCTGAAATTCTCCACAAACTAACTACAATTATCTATTGTACTTTATCAGTATGGGGATTTGTGGAGATTGTAGTATTTTAACAGCTGAATTAACGAGTGTCAATCTAAGCTAGACCATCATTGAAAACCTGGAATCAATGGACGTCCTTTTTGTAATAGTATGGGATCGTGGATGCACACCGCTGAGGAGCCTCAAACTGGTACGAAACGGCCGTCCAGTGCGTCCAGGTCTTCAGTGGTGGTCTAGCTTAGATTAATACTCATGAGTTCAACTGTTAAAATATAGTGGTTTAGTTTAAAATAGACATGAGTTATTTAACTTGAGTCAACAAAAAAGTTTACCATTTAGTTTTTCACCAAATAAATTGATAAACATTGTGAAATTCAATGGACCAGGTGATTCATCTAACATTTCTTTTAATTCTTTATCAGTTGGTGTCCGACCTATATAAATTAAAAATACATTCATTTAAATTTGAACATTTCAAATTTAATTCTTACCCAACGATGCGTACATATCTTTTAAATCTTCAATATCAATAAATCCGTCACGATTTTGATCGATCAACGTAAAGGCCTAGCCATTCATATGGACATTTATTTTATTATTAAATTAGATAGATTAGAGATATACCTCTTTAAATTCTTGAATTTGATTTTGAGGGAACATTCCAAAAACATTTGAAGTGGCTCTTTGAGCTCGTTTACCACCACCACCGCCTCCACTACTTGCTGTCTCTTTTTTATCTTCTGCTGGAGCCCCTGCATCTTCTTCTTTGTTTTCTTTTTTCTCCTTCTTCTCTTTCTTTTCCTTCTTTTCCTTTTTCTAAAATGATTTTCGATGAATTATAGAAGAAAGATGGGTTTATATCTTGCATAGAACTAGTTAATATGTTAAAACTAATAACCTTGATATGATTAATGATATAGCTCACTTATAATGAACATGTGATTTTAAAATTAACTAGTTCAGTCAGAAAAAGGATGATATCATTCATAGGAATCTGTATTTTCTGAGTAACTATATAGATTATATTAGACTTATATCAGTCTACGTCAAATGACTCGTATAATTTATCTGAAATAAATTTGATTAAGGGACTGATTTCTTGGTATGGATGGGAATGATAAGAGGTAACTTAAATATTAGATAATGTAATTAAACTAATTTTATAGATTGTTACTTATGAGCAATTCACCTTTGTTGTATAACATCAACTTTCTAGAATCCAAAGTAAGTTATTTCATTAAAATTCATTCACTTATAATTCGTTATATAAATGAAAGGGCTAATAATTTCTTCAGAATTATTATTCAGGTATGTAAGTGTTACCGTTGAGTTGAACTCCTACAGATATTTGTCTGATATCAAAAAAGCATTTTGATTAAGCAGTCAATGGCACCAAAAAATGAATAAATAGATTGTATTTTTATTTGATGACCGATTGATAAACCGTTTACTTTTAGATAGTCATATGTACGTGGATTATTATTTAAATGAACACCATATAAAGCGTTCAGTTTCGACAGGCGGTAATTAAATAAAATATTAAATATCGCTATCATGAAAACTAGAACAACACACAACTAGATCGTTATCAGGCTTTACTGTAATATTCAGGAATATTTACATAGATATATGAAAATATTTAACCAATAATGACGATTTGAATCAATGCTCATTATGAAGTAGATTGCATAATTACATATAATAGGTAAAAAGAAATGCAAGCTTTTAGTGGAAACGTAAATGTACTAGTTGCGATAAGAGTGGTAAAATGATTAAATTTCCATTCAATAGTTCAACACAGATTATAATCAATAAAATTTACCAAAATTATATAGTAAGAAGTGTATAAATAGTCAGATAGGGAAGAATATAAACGAAAGAAGGTGAATAATGACAAGTAAATGAACAGTATTAAAGTTGAAAGCAATTCAGGATTAATTGACAATATTCGTAGTGATTTTTAGGCACCATAGTATTATCCGAATGTTCTATACGGTATATTTTATGTATTCATCTATTGGTTAGACATATCTTTAATGAAATAAGCAGGAATACTAATCAGTTTCTTTTAGAATAGGTATGTTTAAAAAATCTTATTTGTTTAATGAATCATTTCAACTATGATCAATTAACTAACATACTGCAAAGCGACAGTATATATTCTAAGCAAAAATTTCATGAAAGTTCGTAAACACGGATATTTCGGCGTTTGATAAGACAATAATCTATCTGTCTTTTTAAACATTTGTTATGTATTCACATGTGACAAGTAATAACAGTAATTGTAACGATAAAAATACGATTAATCCTTTGATAAAGTAACGATTTCGTTTAAGGTAATAACAGAAGTTCAATTACTGGGGTTTTAAATAAGGGATTTTGGAATTTCTATTATCTTGTATTGATAAATACTGTACAGGAAATCTCAAGTGAATAATTAAAAAAAACTATTCAGGAGTTAAAATTGTTTGTTTACTTTTGCTGAGTTTCCTAATCATCAAAGAATTGAAAACAATAACTTAATGTAAAAGCCATATTCAGTTCACTGTACAATGCTTTTTTGAATAGTTCCAGTTGGTTTCGACACCTTATTTAAATATAGCAGTGAAAATTCTCATTGGAAAATTAGTGATTAGACATCTGTTAAACAGTTACTTTCGTTTACCGATCTTAAATATTGGTAAATAACCTTTTCATTAAAGGCCTGAACGATAGAAGATACTGCCAGGTCGAGCATACAAACAAAACAACAAAGCATTTCTAGTAAAGTATTATTGGTGATAAACCAATAAATAGCTCAGTAGTAATTAACATTGATGATTTCGCATGTATGAAACGTTTACATGGATAATTACCAGCTTATAGGCTTTGGGAGTCCAAACTCACTTGCCTCCCTGTTAAAAGTATAAGTTAGTCAACAAACGAATCCGTTTAAGATTCTTTGAAATTTTAAACAGATATTGAAAACGGAATGCACCCATTGATATATTAAATAAGAAAGATTGGTTCAGCGAAATGTCCTCTTTTCGGTTAATTCATTTTCAGGATGAAAATAAGTATATATATTTGCGATTGTACACCGAGAAGAGAACTATTCATTGAACCAATTTTTCTTATTTAAATATTGAACAGTCATCGAAAGGTTCTAAAACCCAGTGAGATTAATTGTGTTACTAATGTCGAGAAATTAGCCTACTTTGTCACCTCGCGTTATTTTGAAAGGGGATTGAATTGGGTTTTGAAGACTAGTTATCTCATTCGCAGTTACTTTCAAACGTATTTTCAGGGGTTACCACTTGTTATAGTGCTCCCACCCCTGGTCTAATTAGTCAGGTTTGCTCAACATTGTAGGATCATGTCATCTTGTTGACACATACGAATCAAGCCTAATGAGTTTTCCAGTTATCTGATGAACAATTTATACTTGATGAATATTAAATCAAATTTTATATCATTTTTCAGTTATGCAGTGTGTTATGTTTGACTCACTGTATTGGAATTTCCTATCTACCCTGTAAACAAAGATTTTAATGACAACTAAATGGCAGCAACTAGTCGACTGGTATCAATTCACTTTCTTGAAAGTTGTTAAAAATACAAGCTTTTAAAATTTAAATCTCTATAATGCATTTAATAATATTTGAATGCTTGTAGTATGATCTGTTATTTAAGACATAATACAAGAATTTCTGTCGAAATATTACGGATAATTAGCGGTTTAAGTGTCTTTTGACATTCAACAGGAATAAAGATTAATCGTTATTTTTGTGAAAAGAAAGAAACCACTCGAAGGAAAATAAATTTCAGAAAAACCATAAGTTCATCTCAGTAAAATCACCTATTTATCTATTGTTCAACAAATTGTTAACAAATAACCCAAGTGAAATCAAAATATTCTTACAGAAAGAAAAATTTGACTACCAAGTAGCTACCTAGAAAGATGTAACTATAGATTATCAAAAGGTATTAGGACATTATATATAATGATGTAAGATATATCATCTCTTAATAATTTGGTTTTAAAGCTGTACAACTGGAACAGTAGGATTGCTTACACAGTAGTACAGTAAGTAATATTTTTTTAGTTTTCGTAGACGAAATCTTTTTCAATAAACATATTTGTTATTAGACAGAACTCTCTACATTTCTTCCATACAGTCATAACGGAGTTCGGTATTTAATAAAAGTATTGGGTTCAGTATAGTTACTCAAACATAATAACCCATCGTTGTTATGTAATTAGATCTAATATGTTAAAAATTTTCCACTCATTATCACGAATAGCAATAATTTAGTTGGATGTACTTAACTTTTATTTACACTATTCTGGCCATTATTCATATTTAATATTTAACACTCAACTTTACTCTCTTGTTAATCAATATCATTTTTACAATAGAATAAATGGTAAAAAATAATAGTCATGATCTAATAATCATTATAAAAATCTAACTTACTTCTTCTCCCATGTTCACTTAACACAGAATCACTAGTGTAAAACAAAATGAAGCTTCTAAAACTGACGGAATTTTTATTCGATATATATATATATATATATATATATATATATATATATATATATATATATATATATATACATTGAATTACTGGAACGTGGGCGTTCCATTAAAATATATCAATGAAAGATTTGTATTATATTATTGAAAAAAAGTCAGTAATATTCCATTTCTTAACTGTGTAAATTTCCTATTAATTTTCATGTATAATCCAATCAAATTTTCTAGTGATATTTGTGCACAGGCAATAACAATAATAAACATTCATAACTGTTTAAACTAGTAATGTAAAACTTTACTGAAGCATAGTTTTCTACATTGTATACAGATGATATTGAATAGAAAATTTTGTAACCTTTCTTTCACCTAATCTTACAAAAATCAATAATGTGTGGAGAAAACATCAAATAATAAAACTACCTTTCTTAATATTCGATTACTATATTGTTTGTTTTTTTTGCTGTAGATTTCAAATGATTGGTTTAAATCAGAAGGTAAAATTAAATTACTCCATGACAAATATTTACTGTTAGAAAAGAAATATGTACAGAAAAAAAGAAAGATTCAAATGGAAGTCATGATCATTACAAGATATAAGTTGATTCGTTTTAGTTGTGATGGCTTGTTGAAAGATGAGTGATTTTAAAAATTGCATGTTCCTAAGAGACTAAGTAGTATTCACCCATAATTATAAAAAAATTATATTTTATCTGATTAATAGACGAGTGAACGTGTTACTCCGGATGTTTGAATAATATCAGTGTAACAGAAAATCACTTAAGATGTTCTGGGATTACTGAATAAAACAATCAAGTAAAAACTTACTTACTACATTCCGTAATTACTTTATCTTACTTTTACTGAAATGATCTGTGTGAAAATTAACATTTTTAATATCACTGTTAAGAAAAAATAGTATGTTAATGAAGTGAAATGTTTTGCTGCTAATCTTTTGGGTATAGTTATTTTAGTTTCCATTGAACTAAATACAAAAATAGTAGTAGAATATTATGAATCGATTATTTTCAGTAGGAAAATATAAATGTAGGTTTTTAAGGAGTAATAAATGTAGAACAGTGATGGGCATTGTTCATACGACTGACTACTTCTAAGAAAACTTCATGAGTATTCTAGAAAACAAAACTAATAAGAGCATCAAGACAGATTTCTAGAAGTCTAAAAAATGAGCTTCATAATTAAATTCACTGGCGTATTAATTGGAGATAATCTACAAGAAACCATGAACCTTATTTTCGCTTTAGTAAACAACTTTCAGCAAAACTCAACAAGAATCCTGAGCAAACTGACTCTCATTGTGGGATCTGAAACCCCATCACTCATTTTCACGGTTTTCAACCATGGTAATGAGCAGTTTGTACTGTGACAAGCTGAATGTAGCCCAGATAAAAGTCTAAGAAAAAAGGAAAAAGATTCATAACTTAGCACATAATATACGGTGTTAATTAACTAAGTAGTGAAAATCCAGTTCATTAGTGAAAGTAAGATAATGGTAATGATGAAATATTATGAAAATAACAAACATAACTGGGTGAATATTAGCATCAGATTGCATTACACCCTAGTAATAATAATTTTACGAATATGGATTTTGATTTGATTAAATTGGATAACATGTAAACCTCAGACTAAATAAATACTAATTTTATTCATTGAATTTTTTTCAAACACTTGTGTGATAGGCTGTTTGGGCATTTAATTTCTCAAGGCTGTACACTGTACAGGTGACACTCAGGTTGTTCTAGTTATTTCAAAGGTGAAACAAGCTATGTGTGCATTTTCAAAATACTTATACTAGTTAATAAATATAATTCTTTTTGCTCAATATTGTATCTCTCTATAAATCAAGGTTTCTCTCTACATTAAGCTTTTCTATTGAACGCTTACAGATTTTCAACATACAATAGTCTATTGTGAAGTTGAGAGTCTTACAATAATCACTGAGTTGAAACATGATTAATCAAACATAGAATTAAGAATAGAATTCTCTTGGTTAATGTTTAGTGAGTGATTAGCTCAATTTATTAACTCCCACAGACTACTGCTTTCAGTCTAAAAACTTTGATGTAATTAGCCTTGACAGCAAATTGGAGTAGAATCGAGTCAGTATTCTAGCAGTTGTATAATTTGTTTGATGCTCAAATAAGGTAAATGTCAATGAAAGTGAAAGGTATGGTAAAAATGATTGAACAACGGTTTAGTTCAAAGTTGTTTAGAACATATTTACTTTTAATAATTTTAATGATGAGTATTTTCCTGAAGACACACAAACTGAATCATCATCCAAAACGTTAAAACAATCGAATTTCAGTGGATATAATTCTTACTTAGGTTCATGTTAAAGAAACTAAAGTAGCAAATCTATTTTTAAAGCAATTAATCCCTTTGATAAATTTCGATAGTGTAATAAGAAGACGAAGATTATCAGAACTATCCGATATTTTAGCGTAATATATTTCGAACATCCCACTGTGTTTGCAAATTTAAATGTGTGTGTGGTCACACCTACATAAAGAGGAGTAATCGTGATTTCAAAATTAGGGTGTGTGAACATGTACCTAAATGGCTGCGGAAATAAATACAATCAAATGACCCAATAAGAGTAGAGGATAAGCATCCATCATCCTGTATTGCCAAACATTGAATCGATACAGGCCATAAGATTGATTTAAACTCGGCTTTTGTGGTATTGTACACAAGTGTAAAAGGACGCGTACTAAAGTTTATTGAAGCCTTAGCCATATGAAAACTCGATCCCCTCTTGTGCATTCAAAAACAGTTTGTTCTCACCTCAACCCCACCTTGGTAATATTAGCTTATTCGAGTGATAAGGTTTCAAATTGTTTTCACACTATTTCTTTATTATTCTTGTCTCCTCTTACACTCCATTTCTAGTCTAGTTGACAACTCATTTTTATATATAAATGTTTTTAACAAGTATATGTGTGGTCAGATTGTTCGAAATGTATTGCGCTAACATATCATATAGTTCTAATAATCTTCATCTTCTTACTACACTATCCATTATAATTTCGAAGGCAACAATGCTTTAGCAACAGCCAACATAAATCAGAACTTCATTAACTAAAACATATTCTGAAGCAAACCTGTTTTATACAAAACAAGATGTTCTCTAAAGAGAATCAAGATCGATAGGTAACTTTTTCTTGCTAACTCTCACTAAGTGTTTAAATATATTGTATCTGCCAAAACAGTTATATTAGTAGAAAATTATTTATTATTATTTATTTATATATTTGAACACATAAATATTGGTACAAGCGGGCACCAAATATATATGCGCCACACAAAACAATCAGAATTTGAAGAGAAGAGAAAAACAAAGAAAAAAAGAGGAGGGAAGGGAGCGTAAAAGAAAGAAAGAACAATAACGAACGGATTAGTGTAAGGTAGTGTACTAATAGTAATAATAATAATAATAATAATAATAATAATAATAATGGGAAAAACGGAAAGGCACCATCAGAAGAAATCTTTCAGTTAAGGAAGAAGCAACCACTTTTTATGAAGAAAGTAAAAGAAGGTTACAGCAAGATCGCCACTGGCTTCTATTCTGAGCCATATCTGATAACGTCTCTAGCCACTGTGTTACACCGTCTCTCGGACCCCAGCCGGGGAGTCATGAAGGGCCAACACAAGACAGCCCTTTGCAGATTTCTTTCATACCACGACACCATGTCATATACTGACCACCTCTCCGCTTTTTCCAACCAGTCCCAGAGTCGGCAAATAATGCACGACGAGGAATTCTCTGTGACGACGCCACCGAAGTCGGTGTTTCAAGATGGTGGCACCAATTACATTATCGTCTCTGTGCCCGAACACACGATGCCGAACCTCTGCACTACTCACAAGGTGTTGTCACTGGATGTCAGCAATCCTTCGGAGACAGTGATGATTGAACACAGAGAGTCGTCTAACATCCTCAACTCGGAGAGGCCAGGTTTCACGAGCATAGAGCAAAACTGCTCTCACCGACGCGTTGTAGATCCCACCATTTACAGCCAGACTAACATCACGAAGACGCCAAAGATGGCCCAGATTGGCATAAGCCGCTCTGGCTTTCACTATACGTGCATTGATCTCATCACTCACGCCACCACCAGCACTTATGTAGCTACCTAGGTACACTAACTTCTCGACTACTTCTATCGGCTCACCATCCACAGTGAGTACAGGATTAGAATCCTGCCAGTCTTGTAGAAGTACTTTGCACTTCGAAGGTGCAAAGCACATACCATACCTACGGACACTGATGGCCAACTGATTAAGTGAGGATTGCATGGCTTGGGCATTCTCGCACAGTAAGACAATATCATCCGCATACTCAAAGTCGAGAAGTCTTTCTCCAGGCAATAGATCCACACCACCATTACTTACATCCATCAGAGCTGTTTCCAGAATGTCATCGATGGCAAAGTTGAAGAGGAATGGTGAGATTGGGCAACCCTGTCTAACCCCACTGCTCGAATGGAACAATCGAGAAAGGTGGTTGTACGCCCTTACTCTTCCTGAAGTGTTTGTATATAGGGCTTTTAGGATGTTAATAAACTTCTCAGGCACACACTCCTTCGACAGACAATCCCAAAGAACACTCCTGTCCAACAAATCGAAGGCAGCCCTGATATCATGAAACACTACGATTGTTGGCCTTTGATAAGTGTGACAGTGTTCTAACATTTGGCTTTCCAAGGACATAGCCAGTCCTATCTATTGTCCGACCTGCATAATTGTGCGAACGTTGAGGGCAGCCAGTTTGTATGGTGCATGTGGTTTCAGAAGAACTGATTCAGTATTCGTATTCGGCGGTAGCATACAATTTTCAACCAGGCAATGACTCGAGAACGTTTAGCTAGAACCGAATGTCCACCATAGGCGAGCTGGTGTATAAGTCGAAAAGTAAGGATAAATAA